ACATGTCAGGGCGCAGTAGCTAGAATTGTCATTAACTGCCTACTGCAGGAGATGACGCACCGTGGGATGGGTACAAATTGGCAAGGAAATCGCTGTGAGGTAGTTCTCCGGAATTCGTGCCAGATACGAGGCATCAGAATAAATTCCATGACCTTAATAAATACCAAAAGTATTTAAGACTATGGCGATTCCTGGTTTGATTATTCCACTGTAATCTGTGTTATGCTAATCGCAATTCAGCTTGGCAAAACACTGTGGATGCTAATCCTAGAATTTTGCAAAGTACACGGATATTTAACATTCAATTTTTGAATCATGCATATGAGTTATTGGCCTGACATGACTCTTAGTAGTTTTTCAAACGTGCGCTCTCAATATGTTATCTGAACACATCTCCTGCGTGTCTTACCAGTCAAAGTCTCCGTTGAAGCCATACCTCCTCCCCCACATTATCCTGTTGCTCAGTGTCCAGTACCAAAACACCACTACAATTAACCACTCTGACTTCATAGCCACTTCCTTTCTTAAATAGAGATAGACTTGATAACTAGAGTTTGTGTAACATCTTACGGGTAAAGAGGCCCGACCTGACCCAACCAGCAGCATCATTTTCATTTGACATTGAAATGTTTTTTTTTATATTTTACTTCGTACTCCAATCAATAAAACTGGTCAAAATTGATGACTGTTATTTTTTATCCAGTCAGTACCTCTATCTATGGTCACACCATTTTTTGGGTTGCCAATTTTAGCCGGTCCTATTTTAACCACAGAACTGCACGAAGTATCGAAAAGGAATGTTACTAGAGGGGGGCCATGTGCATGGAACGACCGCATTTCTTTCGCACATTCTGCAGGGCAAATATGTCCACCCACAGAGGATACAACTATTAAAAGCGTGGGCGGTAAATGAAAATACTGAATAAATTATGTTCGGAAGGAGGCAAGGGGTTTAACGGGTTAACCATAAAGCTAGGTGTGCGCAACATCTAGTAGGATCTAAATGTTAAAGAGTACGTTGCATCAGCACAAAATTGCAGATTTGGTGCGTGCTTTTCCTAGAAAAAGTACATCCACACACGATTTGCAAGATTTATTAACAATTAATTTGTTTGTTGAAGTAATCTATTAACAAAATGGGTTTTTACGATTTCGTGTGTGGAATTGCAGTGTACGGATTTATGACAGCACAGTTGTCATTAATTAGCGAATTTTGCGGAAAAATTTGCATTTCGGAGCCAGATAGACGGTCAATGGTTGTGATGAATGCAACCAAGACACAAGATGGTAAATCATGTTGCATGTTTAGAATGGTTAACAGCAGCATGTTTCATGTTTAATGACTTATGGCAAATTCAAACCAAATAATAGTTCATGAAAAAAGAATTAAAAGGTTAAAAAATTAGGGATAATAAGCCCTGCATTTTGACGGATAAATTTAGATAAAAGAACATGATGGACATAGTTTTCTCCAACACACATGAAAACATAAAAACCCTTTAGGACTTCTCGTTAGATGTGATTAGGTAGGAGCTTCACAGAATAGGATATCCGACCTGCTGTGTCGTTCACTAACCCCAAACATGTTCCACAAAGTCATGCCATATTATGGTCATCAGAATGAAACTTGCGTCATTCCCGACGTGTACTTGCAGAAGAAGATCATGCATAGTTTGGATTTTCAAATCCCGTATACTTTCACAGTGACTACATCTTCCACTATCGAACTTTTCAGTGAAGTCAAACAGTGCCATCTTTCTCGATCACGAGGATCTTGAGTTCTTCCTTTCCCCCGCCCAGGTCGACTTTTTTGCAATCAAGGCAAGTCGCCGCCAATTCGACTTCATACTTTCCAAACACTGTGGCCCACAACGACCAATCAGCAATCATTTCCCGAAGCTGCTATCTGGACATCTTTTTCTTCGCTAGAGCAATTGGGAGGTAGTCATGACCAATGTCCATGAGCTATTTTTCAGTTTCATCACTGCTTAAAAGAACTAATTAAACTATATAATCATGAGATTTTTTGCAAGTTCACAACTTTGGGTTTTATTAACATGACTGTTTTCCGATTGCCGAATCATTTGCACACCATTATTGGAAAAACTTCAATTGGAACCTGAGTACCAATAAGGGGTATCTTTCGTTTTACTAAGGGAAAATTATAGGGCTTTGTACTTTGATCCCTCCAGATGCACAATCAGCTTTAAAAAAGCACGTTAGTGGTTTTCGGTTGCCACAGCAAGCCGACATAGCGTGTGGGCTATTGGCGTAATAAAGATGTCATTTTGTCTTGCATATTGGTGATCGCTGGAGCCAAAAACTCCAAAATGGGGCTCAAAAGAAATTTAAAAGGGAAGAAACAATTCTCACCTAAAATAAGTTCCAGTAATTTTTTAAACTTTATCATAGAGAGCTGAGAGCTTAAGGTCTCTTAAAGTAAGTTTATGGAGAATTTGGTTTTAATAACAGCATAAAATCCTTTGAAAGGCATTTTTTGCCAGGTTATGATGCGCTAGTGTGAAGTAATTATGCCACATCATAAAAATTATTTCACATAAGACGTGGCCCCACAGTCATCTTAAATGTTTTAATAGGCGGCAGGAAAAAATCATTGCAATTCTGGCTAGGAACACGCCTTCAACATTAATGGTTTCACTTATCCTTAAGTTCCTAACCGCTTCTGCTGTGATCAATTGAGTACACTTTGAAACAGCTAGTTTATGTACCAAATGCAAACTTATTAGGATTGGGTGAAGTGTTGAGAGTCCTTTTCTGAAAGAATTCATTAACACCCTGTTGGATGGGAGGTCTGTGCACACCACAAGAATCACGGGGTGTTGTTGCGTCAAATTTACATCAACTAAGTCGTTTTTATCGTATGCGTTTTTACAAAATACCGTAGTCATGTAAATAATTTTACTGATTAAGTTGACTTATTTGAGTTTGTGCTTTTACGTAGAATTCTGACACGCGACCAAAGATCATTCGTTCACTTCATTGAAGTACAAAGTTCTGATCAATTTATCGATCACCGCTATTTTTTACATAACAACACGTAAACATTGTCATAACAGTGGAACACGCAATCAGGGAATGAGCATCACTCTCTTTTGTGGTAGGTGGCAAAGTCCGCTTCGTGGTGTACTTTAACTAGATGTCAGCAGTCTCACCCTTCGACATTGACGGCGAAAATCAAATTTTTTCAATTTTTCTATTCTGAGAAGTCCATGATGTATTTGAACCGACCGAAGTAACTGTAAAAAAGATAAAATGATTTCACAAACGAAGGATCAAGACCAATACCAGTCATTGAAATTCCAATTTCCTAAGTTACGTACATTTGTAGATAATTTTTGCATAGCACGGTATCGAATGTTCATTTTTTACTATTGACATCACCTCCCACGTTCCGTCATTAAATTAGTTAATTTGGTTTTTTCACTTTTATCTGAAAACGACGTGGATTTTTTCATTTGCGAACAGGACAAATTTACCCGTAACAGTTAACATACGCAGCAACTTCTAGTGTTCGCCAGCAAATGGTGGTACCTATTGGTAGTCCTGGTAAATTACCCTCGAAGACTGGTAGGCGTTAACTGGTGAAATGAAGTTGTTAGTCTACAATTACAGAGCCACACACGCTTGACATTAAATAAACTGTGTCAAGGTTTACGTATGTGACCCTGCGTGAAGCTAAGTCGACGAAACTCAAATTAACGTAGGTTGCAATTGATATAGAAGGCCTAACAGTGTAAAAGTCAACACACGAATGATAAGCAAAACACGAGGTGCACGAACCTGGGCGGCGTCCGATGGCAAGCCACCCACGGCCGTCACCAGACAGTGCCGAAGACCTGGAATGACGTGGTAGCGAAAGGCAGCTAATTTACGACCCTGGTTCTCGCTACTACCCTTATCTCGAGGACACAAAGAAGGTGGTAAAACGACAGCACTCTGAGGTGGTCATCACCGTTTGTTGCTGGCCTGCTAGACACGTCGTTGCGGTGCGTTTGGATGTCCGTTAAAAATATGTTCGTCGAAGAAACTCACCTATATTAGTGGGATTTTTGGGTTCGCGTGATGCGTGTAGGTATGATTTCGTATGGTGTATTAGAGAATTTGAGCGTCGTTATACGAACACATAAATGCAGAATGTTCTACCATCATCTCCTGCGAAATACAAAAGCCCCTTATTTACTGCAATAGTCACGACACGATACACCTGTACATACAAGTACGCCAATGAGCATTAGACCCTTGTTTGTTTGCAGTAAAGACGTTTCTGAATAAAACACGAAGTTTCTCGAGTGTCCAATATGACTGACGGGGTTCAAATACCACAATGTATGCTAAGGATTTAATGTACATGTCAGGGCGCAGTAGCTAGAATTGTCATTAACTGCCTACTGCAGGAGATGACGCACCGTGGGATGGGTACAAATTGTCAGGTTATGTAAGCAGCAGTTAGATGTTAGATGTCAGCAGTCTCACCCTTCGACATTGACGGCGAAAATCAAATTTTTTCAATTTTTCTATTCTGAGAAGTCCATGA